GCCGAGCGGCCACCCTTGGAATAGCTGCTCTTACACATTTAATTTTCAGCAGCAGTGTCTAGTTTTTATTTCTGCATTTTGAAAATCTCAAAACAACGATAATTTTAATTAAACTTATAAAACTCTTGAAATTCAGGTCTGTGGCAGAAAAAATAAATTCTCAAAAAGTGATGGGTCATCCTCATTCTAATTTATTTTTATTTTTTAAATCAGAGAGAGGAAGGGAGAAGGAGGGAGGCTGCCTCCTGCATGCCCCCAATCCGGGCATGTGCCCTGACTGGGAATCGAACTGTGACCTTCTGGTTCATGGGTTGATGCTCAACCACTGAGCCACACTGGCCAGGCTCATCCTCATTCTAAAAGTTCATTGATATCTACTGATTTGCATGATTAGATGCTTTAGATTGGAAATTTCTTTTTTTAATTTTTTTTTTTTTTAAATTGACTTCAGAGAGGAAATGAGAAGGAAGGAGAGAGAAACATCAGTGATGAGAGGGAATCATTGATTGGCTGCCTACTGCAGCCCCCACACCAGGCATTAAGCCCACAGCCACCAGGCATGTGCCCTGACCAGGAGTTGAACTGTGACCTCCTGGTTCATAGGTCGACGCTCAACTACTGTGCCACCTGGCTGGGTGAAAATATTTTGAGAATTTGAGACCCACGTCTTTGAAATGGCCATTTGTGTTTTTCCCCCTTCCCTACTCCATGGCTTTTGTTTGGTTTTTAATAACTGTGCTTATGAAGTCTGCTTGTTAGTTCACAGTTCGTAGCAGATTATGTTTTAAAGTAATCCAAAGAGCATATTATTGCAATTCAAAAATCATAACAGGACAAATCTATGGAATGCACACATCTGCTGTAAAACAAATATTTTCCTCTGTTAAAAGAACACTTTGGAAATGTGCTAATTTTATTTCCATTGTCCATTTAGCTGCATTTCACTCTTTCAATCCATGGAAATACAGCTACTTAGCAGCTGTAAATTTCAGGCCAACTGTGTTCATTTCTGAAGAGTTTTTAAAGTCAACACGAATAATCTGTAGCGTTTTGGCGGTTGTGAAGGAATTGAGAGTCTTACTGGGAACGTCATGCTGATTGTCCACAGTGCAAATGCTGCATATCTAGCTTGTGAGGCTAGTGTTGAGTGTGAGTGGGCATAGTCTCCAGATAGCAGAGAATAATGTTTGTGTGTCATAAAGTTTAGAATATTTACCTAAGATGTTGGCAAAAAGTTCCTTTTGCTTGATTAGTTGTTATTTCTGCCTCTGTTCTCCCATTTGATCTATAGGCCCTGGCTAGTAATTCTTAAAACAGTTTCTGCGTATGTTGCTACATAGCTTTAAAACTTTTAGTTATCCTATATAATAAAAGGCTAATATGCAAATTGTCCCCTCAGGAGTTTGCCTGGGAGTTTGACCGCCTGCTATGACGTGTGCTGACCACCAGGGGAAGGTGCAGAATGAAGGAAGGCCCCACCTGGCAGCCAGCAATCAGAGGAAGGAAGGCCCCAATTGGCCCTGATTGCCAACCAGGTCTAGGGACTCTACCATGTACGAATTTCATGCACAGGCTCTAGTCAGAGAATAAAGTCCCAATACCTTTGAGAGTCAACATTCTCTGTGATGTAGCTTCTAGTCACCTTTCTTGGTTTCTCTATGACCTTCCTGTAGATTTTCCTATTTCAGTCTGTTCTGCTCGATATTCTCACACGAGTCACGTGCATTCCTTCTGCAGATTTTTCCCTCTGCCACTTCAGAGATTGCTATTTTGTCTTCTCCTCCCCATTCCCTGCAGGCCTCGCTGAGCTGTAAGGCCGAGCTCTTGTCCTGTTCTCTTCCGAGGTTTCCCAGGAGGCTTGCTTTTCTCTCTGAATTCCTTTCAGTTATTCCTTCTCGACTACTCGTTCAGTGTCCACATAACAACTGCACACATGTATGTATTTTACATGTTCTAACTATATCTGCATGTGTTATTATATTGTGGGGGTTGTTTTTTTTCCTGTTTTTTTTTTTTTGTTTTTTTTTTTTAGCTTCTCAGCTAGATGGTGCACACTTAGGGAAGGTGCACAAGCATAGTGATACATTGCTTCTGTGCTTACATGGGAGTAACCCTGTATTTAGTTGATCTGTTGAACAATATTCTGCACAGTTGCCACTAGATTTTTATTTTTTAATCACGGAATTCTGAATACATGGAATAATATTGAGAGATATTTTGATGGTCCTAGCAGATATTTTTCTTTGGTATGTTTCTTATGAGACTACCTCATGGGACTTGCCTTCCTTTGGAGAAGTGTTCTCTGGTCTATATCTGAAACCTCATGAAAATAAAATGCAGGTGCATGCTTTGGTGGGGGCAGTCGTGGGTGACCTGCAGATGGCTGGGCATGGCTGTGGCTTTTGTGTATTAGTGGGGCCAAGTTGTAAAACAGGTCTGTAAGGTGAGGCTTGTCAAGATAGTGTTAAGACTTAAGGAATGATTTTTAAATATTTTCTAAAGCAAGAGTTTAAATTAATATAGGACTGAAAAAATTTGTAGACGGGTAGGGTCCGTAGACCTGGCCAGTAAGTCAGTTTAGCTAGGTTTTAGGATTCTCTTGTTACAAAGGAAAATTACTTCATCATGCATTTCGTATATCAGTTCAGGAACTAAGCACTGATAGTCGACCCAGGAATATTGCTGAAGACTTATCATTTCCTTTAGAATATTTTTGTATTTTCTAAGCCGTTATAAATGCCTATTTAATAACCTGTGTTAGTCAGACTGAATATAGTTGGAAGGTTGTATTGAACATTTTCATCTCTCACGTACCCTGTAAATATCCCACGTTAGTGAAATATATCAAGTATATTTGAAATATATCAAATATATTTGGGATATCAGATTAATATAGCACACAAGAGACCCGGTGCACGAATTCATGCACAGCTGGGGTCTGGCCAGCCCTCCTCGATTGGAGGTGGGGTCAAGGGCAGTTGGCTCGTTGGCCCCACCCCCTGATTGAATTCCCAGTCAAGAAGGCAATTTGCATATTAGCCTTTTATTATATAGGATTATTCTGTTAACATTTTGGTTGAGTTATTGCTACTATTTTGTAGATTTAGTGAATAATTTTCTTTTTCTTTTTTTTAAAATATATTTTATTGATTTTTACAGAGAAGAAGGGGAGGGATAAAGAGCTAGAAAGATCAATGAAAGAGAAACATCAACCAGCTGCCTTCTGCACACCCCACCAGGGATGTGCCTGCAACCAAGGTACATGCCCTTGACCGGAATTGAACCCAGGACCCTTTAGTCTGCAGGCCGACGCTCTATCCACTGAGCCAAACCTGTTTCGGCTTTTTTTTTTTTTTTTTTTTTTTAATATCTTATGGATTTTTTTTACCGAGAGGAAGGGAGAGGGATAAAGAGCTAGAAACATCGATAAGAGAGAAACATCTATCAGCTGCGTCCTGCACACCCCCTACTGGGGATGTGCCTGCAACCAAGGTACATGCCCTTTGACTGGAATCGAACCCGGGACCTTTCAGTCCCGCAGGCCGAGATTTAATGAATAATTTTCAATTCTTACATATAATACTTCATAGCGTTTTCCTCTTTGTGCATCATTTCTTGCTTACCATACACTGTTCTCTCAATATCCTCTTCTGCCTGCCTGGAGTCTCTTCCTTTCCTTTTCCTGTGTGGGCTTGTCTCCGTCTGCGTGTCGTCACATGCAGTGTCCCTTAGAGCGGGGCGTCCTGGCTCCCCTCTGATGGCATCCCTGGGGCCCTGATGGGCGCGTGCTTGCTTCCTGTGCTCTCCAGCCTGCCCTCTGCTGGGCCCTGGTCTGTGGTGCGTGCTCCCTCGGTACTCCACAGCCCTGCGGTGTGCCAGGCACTGCTCACGGTGGTTGGCTTACAGAGTTGACCAAGACTTTGCGTTTTCTTGGAGGAAGACAGACAGGAAATGCGTACGTGTTCCAGACAGCACCTACTGCTGTGCCATCACTGATCCCAGCGGAGAGACCTGGGCGGGGCCGAGGCAGCACGGGAGCTGACAAAGCTTCCCAGTCTTCGTGCCCAGCTGGGTCCGGGATAGGCAGCTGGCGGCAGCAGGAGAGCTGGTATTCCGGGACCCATCTCATCGGTTCCTAAGCGCGATGCTTCCTTTTTAAATCATCATTCTATACCTGGAGTCTAGCGTAGTGGCTGTCACCACATGCCTAGCAGACCCGACTGGCATGTCCCAAACTGAAATCAGCCCTCCTCTGTGTTCCTCACTTCCTCTCCAGCCGGTGGGCACCTGGTCTCTTCCTGGGAGCTCAGGTCCTCGTCGCTGGCTTCCTGGGAGTCGGGGGAGCGCAGAGAAGCCCCCCTAAGGCCGATGGCCTCCGCCTCCTCAGTGGTCCCTCCTGCTGTTCCTGCTGCAGCCACCCCCCTCCCGCTTACAGGTCCACGTTCTGCGGCCTCCAGTCCTGTTTCCTCCAGGCACCCCCAGGCTGGTCTTCACTGAGTAAGCCCAGTTTCTGTAAGCTCAGGGGTGGCCCATCCCTCACCTGGAAGTTGCTCTCCGGGCCCTTGGGCTCCTGGCCTGACTCCCCAATCACTTCTCAGCTGCTCATTGAGCTTCGGCCGGATCAAACTGCCTGCAGCTGGTGGGCATGAATATGCTTCCTGTATGGTGCTTCCAGGTTCTGGCGGAGGGAGCTCTGCTTGCAGTCACGCTCCCGTTCTGCCTCTCCCCGGACCCTGCGGGTCTCCAGCTGGGAGCCAGCCCTGGGACCGGACCTGGCAGCATGGCACTAGTAAACGCGCCCTCCGCGTCCCAGTCTGCCATTTAGCGCTGCCGAGGCGCGGCTGCCCCACCGTGTGATCACGCGTGTCGACCAGCATTCAGTGCCGGGGCAGACATTGGAGTATTAAGAACTCACTTTTAAAGGGGAATGAGGAGTGACCTAAGTGGAGAGGAAGTTGCTGATTCACGTGCATCTTACCGGCGAATCCACTGTTTTGCAGAGCGATGCCGTTCCTGGGGCAGGACTGGCGATCCCCCGGATGGAGCTGGGTTAAAACGGAGGACGGCTGGAAGCGCTGCGAGCCCTGGAGGGAGGACCTGGACCCGGAGCGCCCCCAGCGCAGCGCCCCGCCCAGCATGTATGCCGCAGTGCCCCACCCGCCCGCCCGCCTCATCCCCTTTCCCGCCTCTGCCGCAGAGCTCTGCGCTCAGTCTGGCTGGGAGGAGCCTCGCACAGGCTGTGTGAGGAAGGGAGTTCTGTAGCTCAGGTCTGAGCCGGGACGTGGCCTGGCTCCAGCCCCAGATGCTGCTTTGTTTGTGGAAGCCAGCACTGTGAGGAAAGACAAGGCCTTCGATTGTGGGCCAACCAGCGAGGCTCCCGTCTGTGTCCCGGTCCGGGGCCAGGCCCAGGAAAGGTTAAGGGCCGCGAGGCACAGGCGGGGGTGGACGTGCTAGCGGGTCTGGGTCGGTTGGCGTGTTTGTGTTTTGGGAATTCCGCCGGGATGACCCTGCCGGAGGCGCTGGCTTGGTTCTGGTGAAGGAGCGGCCGGGCACAGTGTCGGGCACTGTCTGTGGATCCGTAGGAGTCCCGGCGGGGTCAGTGCTGCTCCCTGGGCTCCGGGAAGCAGATGGCACGGAGGTGCCGAGGCCATGGGCTGTACCCCCGCTGCCCGAGCAGGGCCTTCTAGGCTTCCCCTTTCATGTAGCTTATTGATCTTCACCGTATTGTCTACTGGCACCTCATTAGACACTCAGTTTCCTGTCCGGATTGGAGTATTTTAAGTGTTATTGTGGCTACATGGTTCAGTGGGCATAGCAGTGGAGGCCATTGGACACCTGGGAGGCCATGAGGATTATCTCCAACTCTGGTCGCACCCAAGACATCCCCGGAGAGTGGGATTCCTTAAAAAGCACTCGAACCTTTTTAAAGTGTGGTCTTCCAAGGGAAAAAGAAAAGCTGCATTTTTTATTTCCTTACAAAATGCACAAGCTCTGATCAGCACAAGGTCAGAGCACTCAGGGGCCTCGGGCCTTGAGGGAAGAACTGTGCTCCGGAGGCCGCAGCCCGGGGAGGCCCTGTCCCCAGTTCCTCACACACGTGCTCCGCCAGCGCTCGGGGCCTTCGCTCCGCTCCCGGGAGGACGTGCGGCTCCCGGTTAACCCTGACGGCTGCCTCATATCTCCTCCGGGGACTAGAAAGGAAATGTGGTTCGGAGTTGGCACCAGGTCAGACCAGCATGCCCAGGGCACTGTGTTCCTGCTGCTCAGGAGGGATGCCATCTGGGCGCAGAGGTCTGTCCTGACCGCCGTGCCAGTGACAAGCCAGCAGGGCATCGGCGTCCTGACCACGTGGCAGGAGAAGGGCAAGCTCTTCTCAGCAGAGATCTGTTCCGCACAAGGAACGCAGGCTGTGTCCTGTTTACAAGGACTGTGGGCAGGGAAGGTGAAAAGGAATAACGCAGGTAGGAAAAAGTAAGCAGTTTTACCAAAGAAAAGCCACGAAAACACTTGCTTCAAAGAAATCGCCAAGAGGACTCGAGGCGAGGGCACTGGGAAGTCCAGGGAAGGTAACGGCTCTGGCCTGCAGGCGAGGCTCCCTGTGTGCGGGCGAGTGCGGTGAGATCCACCCCAGATCTAAATGTTTGGGGTTTGCCAGGAGGCATCTGGCCCTGGACCTGACTTTGTCTGGAAGTTGGTGGTTAGTCTGCTCGGATTTTGGTTTGTGACTCAGAGGGGCAGGTGGTGGGTTCTGGACCTGAGCTGTCTGTCAGCTTCTTAGTGTACTTTGCACTTGAGGAACTTAAGTTGTGACATCTCCGCCTTCATTTCTGAAGTTATTTGAGCCTGTTCTCTTTTCTTAGCTAAATGCTTGTCAGTTTTATGTTTTTTAAAAAATCAGCTCCTAGTTTCATTGATTTTTTAAATCTCTATTTCATTTATTTTTGCTCCGTTCTTCTAGTGCCTTGAGGTGTGAAGTCAGGTGCTCATTTGAAAGCTTTCTTGTTTCTTGACGAGGCTTTTCTCTCTGGACCCCTTTTGTAGGACTGCTCGGCCGCATCCTGTGACTTGGTATATGTCCATTTTCATTCCTCTCAGGTGTTTTTAAAATTTCTCTTTTGATTTCCTGTTTGACTCACTGGTTGTTCAATAGCATGTTGTGTAATCACATATTTGTGATGTTTCCTGTTTCATTCTTGTAATTGGTTTCTAATTCATAAATCATGGTCAGAAAAGGTACTTGATGTAATTTCTTCTTTTTTTAATCCTCAACCAAGGGTATTTTTGTCGTTGATCTTTAGAGGGAGTGGAAGGGAAGAAGGGGGAGGGGAAAGAGAGAGACAGGAACATCCATGTGAGAGAGATACCTGGGTTGGTTGCCTCCAGCACTCACCCTAATGGGCTGAGATTTGCCTGGGAATCTAACCCGAGACTCTTCGATGCACGTCTGACCTTCTAGCTGCTGAATATACTGACCAGCTTGATATGATTGCAGTCTTAATTTCTTAAAGACTTGTTTTGTGGCTCAACATATGTCCTGGAAAATGGCCATGAGTGCTTGAGCAGAATGTGTGTTCTCTTGTTTTGGGTGGGAAGTCCTGTACTCATGTATGTAAAGTCCATCTGCACTAACGTGTCATTCAAGGCCAGTGTTTGCATTGGACCAGGGATATGGCAAATCATTAGTCATATGGGTTGTCATACCATCGCATTAACTTCTTCCCGAGCGTTTCCAGTTTTGTTTATAATCTCCCTGTTTTAATGACAAATTTTGAAGGCTGAAACTGCATTGGTTGAACACATCAAAACCCATGGGACATTCTAAAATGTGCCAGCACTTCCTGGAATAGCATTCTCAAAAGAACCAAGATAAGTCTGAGGTTTCTCAAAAGAAAAAAATATAGTAGACATTAGCCTTGTAATGTCAAACTGTGATGTGTCGCTTTGAAAATTAACAGCTTGCTTTCAGAATTCAACGTTTTTATTTTGATCTTCTAAATTACAAGCCAGATACTTATTATCATTTTTTTAAAAGTTAAGCCAAATGAAGATATCCCTGTAAATATATTTTAATAAACTCTATCTTTATTTCAGAATCCTAAATAGTGAAGATGAAGAAATATTTACTGATGGAGAGCATGGATGTGCATCCAAGAAAAGGAAAAAGGACCATTTTAGAAATGACAGCAACACTCAGTGTAAGATCCTGTTTAAAACACTACATTTCACTGGAGTCTGTGGGCACACGGAGCCCTTTCCACTGCTCACAGGAAAGGCGGCCGGAGGCCTTCACAGGCCTTCTCCCCCGCTGCCCACAGGACTAGTCACCAAGCCTTTTCAGCTCAACCATTTGTTACATTTTTTTAAAAACATGTTTTTATTGATTTCAGAGAGAGGAAGGGAGAGGGAGAGAGAAACATCAGTGATGAGAGAGAATCATTAATCGGCTGCCTCCTGCACGCCCCACACTGGGGATCGAGCCTGAAACCTGGGCCTGTGCCCTGACCGGGAATCAGGCTATGATCTGGTTCCTGGGTTGATGCTCAACCATTGAGCCATGCCGGATGGGCTCAACCATTTTGTCAGTAAGATTTGCAAAAACAAAACAGAAGATAGCAAAACCCACTACAGACCCGCACATCCGGGTGGCTGAACAGGGGTCACCATCGGTTCGCTCCTAGGCACGGAGGCGTGGCAGTTGGGAGCAGGACACCGGCGTGGGCAGAGCTGGGTAGCGCCTGGCGGGCGGCAGGCACTCCCCTGTGCACCCGTTCTGCACCGAGCGCCTCCATGAGGCGTGAGGATCGCCCCCGGTAGTCTGCCGAGGAAGAGCAGGGCCTCGGCGGTGGATCATGACCCTTGAACTTTAGGATCCAGTTACATGAAACAATTTAATTAAATCAAATACAATTTAAAGGCAGTGACAGGAGAATAGGACTTGTTATTAGTTACATAATTTACTAATTGCATTTTTATAATTATGTCTTCATATTATTTACAATCATTAGTAGAAGTAATTTTCTTCTACGTTACTAAAAGTTGGTACTGTCTGAAACCATGTTTCATGTAAAGATGTGTTTCAGCACCTCTTAAACTGACAATAAGAAACAAAGAATTTGTCCAGCCAGTGTGGTTCAATGGTTGAGCATTGACCTATGAACCGTGAAGTCATGGTTTGATTCCTAGTCTGAGCACATATCCAGGTTGCATGCTTGCCCCCAGTGGGGAGCGTGCAGGAGGCAGCCAGTCCATGATTCTCTCTCATCATTGATGTTTCTTTCCCCCTCTCCCTCTCCCTTCCTCTCTGAAATCAATAAAATTAAATTTAAAAAAAAGAAAGAATTCTGTTCACATTTAACAAATAAAGGCATCTCAATCTGCACATCAGATAATTTCGTTAAAATATGCAACTATTTTAAGATTCTGAAAATCTTCATTTTGAAATTATTCCCCAGATTTTAAAAACAGTTCATTTCTGTTCTAGGTTTTTTTCGTGAAAAATGGATCTATGTCCACAAAGAAAGCACAAGAGAGGTAAGTATCCTGTAGTGAGTGAGCATGTGTGTTGTGTTGTTCCCGCGGAACATGTAAATTCACGTTAAACAAATCACTTCTGCAGCCTCAGCCCTGTGGCTCTCACTAGACTGACGACGATGCCGGGGTCTTTGAAACAGTGACCCCGTGTGAGTGTGCACTGTGAGTGTGCGTGGCCGGTGCCTCTGGCGCAAACTGAATGAGCCTCGGAGAGCCGCTGCTGTGGAGCCCTGCTGCTAGCAGGGGGCATGGCCTCCGGGGCGGGATGGTGAGAACTCGCACCCCCTCCCCTCCCGGAAGCTAAGTAAGACTGGGAGAGAGCAGTTTGAACCCTCCCCTCCTGTATTTGGCCAAGTTGGAGAGGTGTGACTATGAGCCAGGAAGCAGTCTGCTCACTTCAGCCGTTTCCTTTTTCTCTGCGTAGCATCCGGGAAGCTTACCTCTTTGCACTCTGAGAGACTCCGCACTTGCCTCATTTTGCAGGACTGGGGAGTGCTTTAGGGAGAAATTGTAGAGTCACATTCTGTCGGCCTAAGTTAGCTTTTCCAGAGGCGTTAAAAGTAGATGACATGAGCCGAATGGATAGAGTGGACTGAAAGGTCCCAGGCCTGTGGACTGAAAGGTCCCAGGTTCGATTCCAGTCAAGAGCATGTACCTTGATTTCTCTCTCATCGATGTTTCTCTCTCTCCCTCTCCCTTCCTCTCTGTAAAAAAATCAATAAAATATATTAAAAAAAAAAAAAAAGAGTTGATGACATGAAACTAGTTGGCTTCTGAGACAGAACGTATTTGCCTGCTTGGTGACGGCTTACATGGCTAAGTGGGTTCGGGAGGACTAATCCTTCGCACACAGTCTAATGCACCGTTGCACGAATGTTTGGCAGAACCTAACATAGTTTAGGTTGATGTAAGACTATGTACGTAATACTTCATTGGTCTGTCTTACCGCACTGATGACAGGAAAGAGAACCAGCTTAGGCCAGCACAAGCAGCTGACAGAACTCCCGTGAGGCTGAGGTGTCAGTGATCTCGGATCCTAGCAGCACAGTGTAACCAGCTCAGGGTGGGCAGGGCTCGGGCCGAGAGCTGGCACTTCCCTCGCCAGCTGTCTGGGCACCACTAGGCTGGCAGTCCTCTCACCCGATGGACCAGGGGTCTCTGCTGCCCGTCTACATGGCCACTATGGCCGCCCACAGGCCCCCCAGGGGGGCGAGCCCATGTCGTTCATACACATGAGTTGCTGTTCGCTCTGTGAACCAGGTCTTCCTCCCTCAGAAGGGGCTGTTGAGAGGGGGGCTTCCTGGAGAGTTGTCTCCCGCACCAGCACGCAGTTCTTTTCATTGAGAAGAAATGGAGTAGGAGTACCAGCGGGGATCAAGCAGGTTCTGTCTGGCTTTGCTCCCCGTGCCCCCAGACGGTACTTTGCATATGGTAAATGCTCCCTAAAATATGTGTGAGTGTTGTGAGTGAATGCATCTTGTTGGTTTACGCACTCATAGGACTGTTCTTAGGACTTGCACAGACCACCAGTCCTTCCTGTGTGTCTTCACTGTAATAGGGCGAGCCGCCTCTTCCAGACCCTCTCCTGCCACCCTGGGCTTTCTGCGATTGGTGCCCCGTTTGTCTGTCCCACAACTCTGCATTAAAAATCTCTTTCTATACTCTTCGTATTTCAAACACAGATGGTAGGATTTGAAGTGACACCTAATGTACAAACCAATCGGAATGCAGATGCATCATGGAGAAAACCATCTAGAGAGTGATGTTTCATTCTAAAAGACTGGCTCAGTGGGTAGAGCCGGCCTGTGGACTGAAGGGTCCCGGGTTCCGTCCTAGCCAAGGGCATGTGCCCGGGTTGTGGGCTCGATCCCCAGTAGAGGGCATGCAGGAGGCAGCCAGTCAGTGATTCTCCATCATTATTGATGTTTCTATTTCTATCCCTCTCCCTTCCTCTTTGAAGTCAATTATATATAGGAGGGGGCTCAGAAATGTGTGTGTGTGTCTGTGTGTGTGTGTGTGTGTGTGTGTGTGTCTGTGTGTGTGTGTGTGTGTATACATATGTATGTGTGTGTGTCGCTGGCTTTGTGTGCGCCCGCCCAGCTGACTGTTCCCTGTTTTCCAGCGGCACGGCTACTGCACGCTGGGGGAGGCCTTCACCCGCCTGGACTTCTCGAGCGCCGTGCAGGACGTGCGCAGGTTCAGCTACGTGGTCAGGGTGAGTATCTCCTTCCCCCTTCCCGGGGACACCGTGCTCCGGGCCGCAGAGGGCGCTCCCTGGCGGAGTAGGGTAACCCCGGGGCGGGGCGCAGGAGAAGATGGCTCGGTGCCGTTGGCGCGGGCTCGGGTGGGACCCGGTCGGCCTCTGCGCTTTCTAGGTTTCTCCAAACCACGCGTGCACATGCAGGGCACCATGGGAGGTGCCAGGGAAACAGACGTTTACCTGCTTGTCCCCACGTGTCCTACTTCACGTGTCACAGCTGAGCCTGGCAAGGGGAACAAAGGGAGCTCAGAGCTGTTATGCTGCTGGCCCCTGGCTGGAGGGAATTGGTGTCTTAGCCTCATTCCGGAAAGGGCTCTGAGCCAGCCCCATGGCCTCATTGTGTAGAGGCTGCTCTGCAGCTTCTTCACTCCTGCTGTGGCTGTGGCAGCGGCAGTGAGTGACGGCTCTGCGGTGGCTGTGGCTGTGACAGTGAGTGACGGCTCTGCGGTGGCTGTGGCAGTGAGTGACGGCTCTGCGGTGGCTGTGGCTGTGACAGTGAGTGACGGCTCTGCGGTGGCTGTGGCAGTGAGTGACGGCTCTGCGGTGGCTGTGGCTGTGACAGTGAGTGACGGCTCTGCTGTGGCTGTGGCAGTGAGTGACGGCTCCACAGCTACGGTGATTTGGGAAGACTTCTCCTAATGGCGTCAGGCATTCAGAAACAGACTGAGGGACATCAGAGGGTGGGGTGGGAGGGCCTGGGTGAAAAGGTGAGAGGCTAGCTAAGAACGTGTCTGCGTGAAGGGCGGGGTGGGGTGGAGAGGGGTGAGGGTGGGGGTAGGGTGAGGCTGGGGTGGGGTGAGGGCAGGGTGGAGGTGGGAGAGGGGAATCAGTTTGGTTGTACTCACAAGGAGTTTTCAGTTTAGCAAAGAGAGGGACACACTTCTCTCTTGTAGCCTGAAACTACTCTCCGGGGCAGGCGGTTTGGTCCGGGACCTGCTCTGGCGCTGTGCATTCTCCCGTTCCGTGGCGATGGGCTAGGGAACGCCTTGGCTGGGCTTCTGATGGTGTTGCTCCTCAGATGCTGTGAAATGACGTCACTGGCACGTAGGTCCCGTTTTTCGGGGAAAGCTGCCGGCGGGTACACGGCACCTGTTCCTGGGAAATAGGTGCGTCCTTGTGCTTAGGCTAAGGTGTCAGTACCAGCGAGAGAATATCTGCCCTGACTATCGGCTCCTCTTGGCAGCCAAAACAAGGAAATGCATGGGAAGAAGCTGGGGTAGTCGCTGGACGCCGGGGGTAGTCGTGCCTGCCTGGTGGGTCCCTGTGGGTTTCCTGGGCACCTCATGGGACGGGATGGGGCTCCTTGGGCACCTGCGGGGCTGCACGAGGCCGCCCGCCTGCGTCCTCCAGAGGCTTGTTGCCAACGGTACTTGGTTTGGAGATGATCCTTCCTGTGTTCCGAGTATCTCATGGATCCTGGGAACAGCCACGCCATGAGGACAGTGGAAAGAGACAGTGACGAGACTGAACGGTTATTGGAGGTTTTGAAACTTCTCCTCCGGACTGTGTTAGATCAGCGGCTTACCCACGGGCACGTGAGGAGCTGGAAACAGATAGGATCAGGATGCCTGCAGGAGGCGGTGGGGGGGGGGGGGCAGGAGGAGCCCCTCTCTCGCTCTGATTGTTTCACTGAGGCTTAGTTTGCCCTCCAGCACATGTGCTTCTCCCGCAACCCGATCCTTCGCCAGCTGATAGGACAGGTGGCACGGGTGGAGCATGTGAGCAGGCAGAACGCCCTGTCCCTCCGCATGCGAGTGCCTGAGCTCTGGGCATGACATGGACAGAGGTGACAAACGTGCAGGCAGATGCACCCCAGGCGACAGGCAGGCAGAGGACAAGCACTTCCATTCAAACCTTCGGGATGCTACAGACGCCTTCTCACGGAGCCCGTGACTTAATGTGTCACCTGACTTAATGGAGTCCAGGGAGTCCTGGCAGCGTCTGGTCCTTTGCGAATCAGCTGCAGTTGGCTGTGCTGAGCTGTGTGAAGGGGCCCAGTCGTGAGCCAGATTACTGTCACTGCTCATCCCGGCACCCTGTGCAGACCCAGTGGAAGGATGAATGAGACGTGTTTACACGCTCGGTTTTGTGAGTCACCCACTTTTTAAAAAATTTTCCTTTATTGATTTCAGAAAGGAAGGAGAGGGGGAGAGAGAGAAACGTCAATGATGAGAGAGAATCATCTATCGGTTGCTCCCCGCACGCCTCCTACTGAGGATTGAGCCCGCCACCCAGGCATGTGCCCTTGACTGGAATCAAACCCGCGACCCTTCAGTCTGCAGGCCGATGCTCCATCCACTGAGCCACCCCTGCAGGGCAGTCACCCCACTTTTCACCGTCAAGTGTGTGCCACAGATTGCCCGGCAGCATGAACTGGCAAGCGGGGACCTCTCACGTGGTCACGTTTTGCCAGTTCTTTATTAACCCTGCAGGCACCTCCTCTGCAGGGAAGCCTGGTCTCTGGAAATGAAGGCAGTCCTTTCATGCAAAACACATCCCTCCAGAGTTTCTGGGCACAGAAGGCGCTCCCACTCCAGGGACACGCCTGTGGCCATGCAGGCAGGGCTGTTGGCTACCGTTGCAGGCGTTTCCTGTCATTTTCCCCTAATGGTGCTGGGACAGAGTGCACGGTGACATTATGTTAACGCCCCAGGAAACTAGGTTCGGGAAGCTGAGAAGCGACAGGGTGGGCTTACAGTCTGGGAAACTCAGCCAGCCAAGCTGTAGCTCCGCCGCGTTCAGAGAGCCGCAGAAGTGTATGGCCGGGTGAGAGCCGGGCGGTGGGGCCTTCTGTTCAGCCGATGGCAGGCAAGCGAGGGAACATCCAGGTCACTTAGAAATAGTGTCGTGATCAGGACTGTCCGTATTGTTCTTCAGCTTCCAGTATCTCTCTCCTGTCAGCTTGGGGTATGGCTCAGTGCTGCAACCAAGAATTCTTTCAACAAAATTGAAACTATAAGTATGCAATAATTCAGTTTATGTAAACGCTAGCAGTCTTTTTATTGATCTGAGAGAGGGGGGAGAGAGAAAAACATCAACTTGCTCCACTTATTGATGCATTCATGGTGCTTCTTGCATGAGCCCTGACCGGGGATTGAACCTGCAACCTTGGCGTATGGGAAGATGCTCCCACCCACTGAGCTCCCGGCCAGGGCCTAAAGTAACATTCTTCCTTCCCACCAGCGCTGGAGCCGGTGACTGAGACAAGGGCCCATGGGGTGTTAGCTCCCCAGGAATGGGGAGCAGAGGGACAGTCCAGATGGGGAGGGGGCTCCCATCTCGCAGACCATCTGCTTCCCCAGTTCCCAGGATGGGCAGGTCGCTCAGGCAGCCTGTCCCCGGCTGAGGCGTCCTGGAGCCTTTGGGCAGAGGCCTGGTCCCGGACTGTGGAGAGTCGGGCCTCCGAGCTCCAGGGAAGTCACGACCACAGGGTTTGCCAACAAGGTTAGGGCGGGGTTTTGCTTGGCTTCAGGAACATGGATGGAGAGCTCCCGCTTCTGTAAAGTTTAGGTCTCTTTGTTTTACTAAGTGAGTAACATCGATAACACTTTTTAAAGTGAGATAATGAAGTTTCAGACCATCGATGCTGTTAGGAGCTCCTCACCAGGCCTTTCCGGCACACGGTTGTGGGAGGTGCCTGGTGCGGCCACCTGTGTCCCTCTCTGAGCTGTGACTTTCAGGTCATTCTCTTCCTCTCCCCGGCCTCGGTCTTCTCATCTGTAGCCCAGGACCATAGTACCACCTGACGGGTGTGGGAGAGTTAGGTTAGTCACGTTGTGTTCTCCAAGCCTGGCCTGCCCCGCAGTCCCTCCGTGTTCCTGTTGGTTGTAAATCTGAATCCAGCGGGAGCCTGAACAGTCGCCAGTGTCTCCATGATACTGGAGAAGCAACGTGGACCCCCTTGGGGTTCCTGGGCAGCACTCTGAGAACCGCTGCAGTACAGCACCTCCAGGGTGCTGTACTGCCCGCACTTCTCAGGGGAGAGGGCACTGTGAACGTCTCCTTTTCCTCTTTCCGGGAGGAGAAGGATGCAGTGCACCTGCACGTCTGGTCTGTCCCCCTCAGGCTGCAGGGGGGTTCCCCGAAGCCCCATTGGCAGGGAAGCTGCGCTCAGTCTCTGGACTCCTGTCTCTGCTCGGCCCCTCACACAGGTGGAGGGGTCCCTCTGCATGGCGATGGCCAGCTCGAGGACCGGAGCAGCACGGCTGCTGGGAACGGTGCAGCCGGGCGGGTGGCAGGCTCTCACCTGGTCTGCCCGGTGCTGCGGTGTCGTCCGCGGTCACCGCAGTGCGGGACACGCTAGGTAAATGTTAGACGTGACAGAGGTGGTCTGTGGTGGTCGCCAGCCAGGGCAGCTCTGAGCTTGTGGTTGGCAGTTTCTGTCCTCTGGAAGGCAGCAGAGGCAGCGAGGAGGGAGGAGGGGTAGAGAACCACTGGCAGAGGCTGAGGGCAGGCGCCCTGCAGTCTGAAGTGCAACCAGAAGCAGCCAAGGCTGGGCAGTCGGTCAGGATGGTGTGAGTGGACATGCTCACAGACGCAGGGCAGGTCAGGCGACATCAGCAGCCACACGTGTGGCCCAGGGAGTAAAATCGGAGGGCAGGACGGCAAAGTCACGCGCTCGATTCCTTGATCAGAGCCCGTGGGAAACTGCAGAGAGGCCGGCAGTACATGAGCCCTGTGGGAGGGAATGGCTCTCCCTGCAGAGAGGAGCAGGAAGCACTGGGCAGAGGAGCGGGAAAGGCCTCCGTTCCTCCTGGGGCCTCGGGCAGGAGCTCTGCCCAGCCACCTACCTCAGGAAGGAGGAGGCCCGAGGTGCTGACCCCGCGGGGCAGGGTGGTGAGGCACCGGGACCTGCACCAGGGGTCGGCAGGCTTGTCAGGGCTGGGCAAGCAGTTGGGGTTGGGGTTGGGGGGCTGGGAGGCTGAGAACAGACAGACAGACAGTGAGCAAAGGCGGATAGAGGAAACAGGCCGTGAGGACGAGCCGGGACAGGAACTGGGGGGAGCCAGTCAGAGCGGGCACTTGGAAATGTAAGAGTCTAGGTGGCAGAATGAGAGAAGCAGTGATTCTGAGTTTAAAGGTTAGAAAGAGGGGGAGCTTTGGAGAAAGGGCAGCCGGGAGAAGGCCCTGCTCACATATGACTGGAGTCTGCAGAGGAAGCAGACAGCGCGGGGACTGAGCACAGGCCACGGTCCGATGCCGGAGACCTGCCTGAGGGGCGCAGGCTCGGGTCTGCACATGGAGGGTGTGGGCCCGGCCCGCACAGCCTGGGAGGAGGTGACAGCGCCTCTCTCCGAGGAACCCTGAGGGGCACACGTCTGTCCTGTGCATGTCGTCACTGCGGTTTGTGTTTCCATGTGAAGTAGATTTATGCTTAGCTTTTTCCCTCTTTCTTTTAAGCTATTGCAGCTAATTGCAAAATCCCAGTTAACCTCATTGAGTGGTGTGGCACAAAAGAATTACTTCAACATTTTGGATAAAATCGTTCACAAGGGTAAGAGGATGACTGATACTTTTCATCGTCTGAATCTTAATGAGCTTTAGTGTGAGGAGAGGGGTTTCTCTTAACCCTGCCCCCGTGTGTGTGTCAGGTGGTGACGTCCGGTGTGCTGGGGCTGCACCGCCATGCCAGCCTCCAGCTCTCACGTCCATGTTCTGTCCACGTTTTTACAGTTGCGTTTGCATAGAAGGGAGTATATTACATTAATATAAGGAATATATTATTGTGCTATTATAAGATAGGAAGATACGTGAAAAGATATTTTACCTCTTCATGGTAGCCAATCATATTTTTTCACTTTACCATATAATGTTTCCATAATCATCAGAGTTGGGACTTAGTTGCTTCAGCATCAAATAAACCTATACATTGCTTTTTAATTTAGTGATTGTATTGGTTGATTAGAGGCTAATAGGTAGAATTTTAGATTTCGCACTAGGGTTATACATGTATAGGATATCCCAAAAAATGTATACATTCTATAATAGCTGATCACTCCATTTTGAAAATGAAACGTATTGGAGCAAACACTGCCTGTGTATTGTCACAGTGTGTGTACACTTTGGGGAACGCCCTCTAGCTGCGTTTAGGGCTGAGTGCAGCCATTTGTGAACACCATCTCTATGGCGAATGTAAAGAACATGGAGACTGACCGTTCAAAGTAAAAATGTAGACTCGATCATAAATGCTCGTCAGGAAACACTTTAAAGTTTGTCTGAGTCTCATCATATTTGCGATAGCTCAGAGATGCCAGTTTGGGGTGCAGTGGAATTAGATCATTGTTCATTGTGACAAAATATAGACAGTGTAAAATGGACAGTTTCTCTTAAGCTACAGTCGGTGCCATTCGATGCTTTCACTCTGTTGTGCCACCATCACCACCATCATCTCCCAGAACATCCTCATGTTCCCACTCAGCCTCTGTCCCAGTAGACACTCCCCCCCCACCCTCCCCCCGCCACCACCGTCCACTTGTCTGGGGCTCCGACTCCTCCGCCCGCGCACGGAGTCACAGCCTCTGTCCTGTCTTGGCACCCTGAGCATCATGTCTTTGAGGCCCCCCACGGGGCAGCGTGTGGCGGGACCGGAGTCTTCCTTTCCGAGGCTGAGTGCGGTCCGCTGTGTGCGTGCCCCCGTTGCAGCTGTAGGTACCACTCTCACGGGCAGCTGTCCATGCAGGTTGTGTTGTGTGTGTTCCAGTGCTCGACGACCACCAGAACCCGCGGCTGATCAAAGACCTCCTCCGAGACCTGAGTTCCACGCTCTGCACCCTGGTCCGCGGCGTGGGCAAGTCCGTGCTGGTGGGCAACATCAATATCTGGGTGTGCCGGCTGGAGACGGTCCTCGCCTGGCAGCAGCAGCTGCAGAACCTGCAGGTGACGCCGGTACGCTGCCGCCCGAAGCCGAGCCGCTTCTCCAGGCTCCGGCGTGGAGAGAGGCTCGGCTCCTCTCCGGGTTAATCCGTCGTTTTGGGTGGAAAGACCACGGGCCTGCTGCTGGAAGGGCTGACTGCCGGGGACGGGGGTCATTGGGTGAGAGGAAATTGGGTGCTTTGGGCTCAGATGACATAGAAAGCACGGCTCCGTGTGTGCAGTCGCCTTCCCCTCGCTGTGCTCGCGTAGGACCTGTGCTCCCCTCACGTGCTCGCTCTGCGTGGACGCAGATGCACACGTGAGGAGGCAGATGCATATGTGTGTGGCTTGTAAGGTGACACACATGATAGACATGCCATCACATGCAAACTATCGCCATGTCCAAGGCCCGTGATGCTGCAGCTTGAGGCACTGGATGAGGCAGAAACGTGGCCTCCCGTCCCCTGTGATCGTGTCTGATGAGCTGAGGAAGGATTTCCACAGAGAGGACGGTGCCAGCGCTCTGAGGGGACAGTGAGGGCGCCCCTCCACACCTCTCCCTGTACCCACCCACCTGGGACCAGGCGAGGCGCTCCTGCCTCCACAGATGTCCTCGCCCAGGGCTGAGGCTCTGACCACTGGGGACACTTCCGCCTCAGCGGCGGGGGCAGAGCTGGGTGGGGCCCAGCAGACACCTGCTGTCTGTCTGTAAGAGGCTCCTGCGGACATGAGGCCCTGCATGGCACAGCCCCTGGCACAGGCCTCAGACAGCAGCCCCGTGGTGCCAGCCTGAGGGACAAACAGCGGGTCATTTGCCGGCTTGTGTGAGGGAGGGTGTGGCTTATGCAGTTGAAGTCACGGAGATGTGAGCTAGAAGGCCTCGGTGACGGATTCCTCCACGGCCCCTGCCACTGAGCTGCCCAGGCCGGAGCAGAGGCTCCGTGGCCTGCCACGTCCCCAGTACCTGCCACTTCCACGCGCCCCTTTGAGTGTCGTCAAGTAGACAAGTCCCCTCGTGCACACGCCGTGGTGGGGCTGGCGCCACCAAGCAGCCGGGGCGTTCCGGCTCCACTTCGGGCGGCCCTGGCGGCCAGCGGAGGAGGCAGGGGTCAGGGCCGCTGCATCAGGCTCCCGCTAGTGGGGTGTGGGGGAGGGGAACGTGAGGTCGGTCTCCGTGGCCTGAGGCGCCGTGGCCTGCTCCCCTTCTCAGGAGAACCACGGCCTCACGCTCAGTGACCTGCCGCTGCACATGCTGAACAACATCCTGTACCGGCTCTCGGACGGCTGGGACATCGTGACGCTGGGCCAGGTGAGCCCCACGCTGCGCACGCTCAGCGAGGACCGGCGGCTCTGGAGGAAGCTGTGCCAGTACCACTTCGCCGAGAAGCAGGTGAGGGCGGCTCGGGGCCGTTTAGGAAGGTCAGTGCGGCTGCTCCCCGACGGCTCATGCAGGTTCCTGTTCGTCTTCAGACAGAGCCACGAGCTGATAGACCCAAAACGAAACACAGCAGGCCTCGGTTCCCGCTCTTTGGGATCGGCACCGGGTGTCGCCATCTCCCTAACGGGCTCGGGCTGCATGTCCGCTCCACCCGCACCCCAGCCGTGGTTGTCTGGGTGGCGGGCCGCATGCCGCTGCCCACGTCTCCTGCCTCAGCTCCGTGCTGCGGCGGGCAGGGCTGCGCCTGCGGGAGGCGGCCTGGCACTCGGGTCCAAGCCAGCAGAGACGGGGTGGGGGGTGAGGGGGCTGGTGGCGGCCGCCGGGAGATGGAGAATGGTGTGCCTGTGAGCACGTCCACTCTGCGGCGCGGGAGGGACTCCCTGCGGAAATGCAGGCCACAGGCGGTGGCAGCTGTGGGCGTGCTCTGCGTGGCAGGGCCCTGGCCAGGAGGTGCGTCCTGAGCCTGTGGACCCTCCTCTTTGCCTGGCATTGGGAACGGACCAATGACAGGCTGCACCAAGAAAGACGGGAGTGGGCAGAAAGGCAAACGTGGCCATGGCAAACCCCAGGGACTGGGGACCAGCGGCGGGGGCAGTGCAAGTGCAGCAGTGCCCCTGGTCTCGGGTGGGGAGTCCCCGGTGGAGGCAGGGTGGGTTCAGATGCCTCCCGGGTGTCCAAGTGCAGCACATCGAGAGGCCCGGGTGTCTGAAGGACTCGAGAGCAGGAAGTGGGCCTCGGGCAGCTGGCTGACGGGGCTCCTGAGGGTCAGAGGAAGGGCCGAGGCTCCCAGAGGACACCTGCTGGACTGCTTCCGGGTGGACTTGGGGAGAAGCACAGGGCCCGGGTGATAGGACTGGGGAAGGAAGAGACTGAGCTCTGGATTCGGCACAGGCGTGCAGGGAGGGTTTGTACCCAGGGAACCAGCGGGTGAGCAGCGTCTGCGTGGCGGCCCGAGCTCCCGTGGGCCCCTCCCCAGGTGCCTGGCTGTTCCCCAGCTCCAGGGTCAGAGTGCGTGGCGGGCGTCTCAGGACATTTGTGAGGTCCTTGCGTGCATTTCCATAAAGGGCCACTTTATTTTTTTTTAATACATTTTTATTGATCTCAGAGAGGAAGGGAGAGGAAGAGAGAAACAACAATGATGAGGGAGAATCTTTGATTGGCTGCCTCCTGGGGACCAAGCCACAACCTAGGCATATGCCTTTGACCAGAATCTAACCTGGGACCCATCAGTCCGCAGGCCGGCGCTCTATCCACTGAGCAACACAAGCTCGGCCACTGTAGAGGCTCTGTCCTCCTCACAGCCATTCCTGTCGGGGTCAGCGCTGGCACTCTCTGGTGCATCCAGTCTGCATGCTGTGTGATCATATGGGAAGCCCAGGCGCTGCCTGAGTGATTCCCGCTCCCGGGCGGGTGTGACGTGTCTCCTCCCAACTCTGAGGGCAAGTGCTGGCCTCTGGCCGTCTGTGCGTCTTCACAGGATCTCTTTTCAAGGCCTTGCTCGTGTTGACAGGTGATGTGTGTAGCTCACCGCCATGTTAGCGTGGCTTTCCGAGTGTGGCCGGCATACAGTATCATGTCAGTTCGGGTGTGCAGCTCTGGGTGGCCTTATTTTTAGTGGAACAACATATGGGCTTCAGGCCAGACCTGAAGAGTGAGATCTGTCATGGCTGCGTGGGGTCCAGAGTAGGAACACGCAGCTCCTTTGATGAGTCCCTTGGAGTTAACCCGGCAGTTTAAGTCCAATAATTCAGTGCTTCCCGGCCACCTGCCTCTTTAATGGCTTTGCCCGCATCCCGCTCTGCACACCTGCTGACTGAGCGGAGGTGTCCAGTTCTGCAGACACCTGATCCTCTCGGAGAAGGGCCACGTGGAGTGGAAGCTGATGTACTTCGCGCTGCAGAAGTGCTACCCGACACGGGAGCAGTACGGGGACACGCTGCTCTTCTGCCGGCACTGCAGCACCCTCTTCTGGAAGGTGAGCCCCCGGGGGGAGGGAAGGGGGGCAGCGTGTACCTCTGCTCGGAGGCAGGCGCGAGCACACGGCGAGCTGTCTGTCCCGGTTAGCCAGCAGGACGGGCTCCTGAGCACAGTGCCCTGGGGTTCAGATCCGAGCAGCGAGGAGTGGACCTTTGGCCACTGCTTCCCTGGATGGCAGCCTTCCCGGGCGACAGGCCGTGTGGGGCACGTCCGAGGGGAGGCAGCACAGGTCTGCGGGCCCCTCGGGTCTCCTGAGCAGAGGCTGCTCCTGGCCAGCGGCTCTCCCAAGCCCTGGGCCTGAGAAAGGACGGCCTCGCTTACCTGTCCCCAGACGCGGCCTTCTTGTCCCACAGCCATTTCCAGGCAGCCTATCCCGTGCCTCCCGCTTCTCTGCTCAGAGCTCCACACACGAGTCCGCGTGCATTTTCTCATTGTGTGGTCTCTGGTGCTTGTCAAGTCCAGTCCTCCGGCACACTCCCATCCCGAGCCCCTTCGGCCCGTCTCCGAAGACCCCTTCCTGTCTACGCCCCCCCAGACATCTCTGATGGGCCCCCTTCCTGTCCGCTCCCCCCACCCCATGCCTCTGAGGGCAGGCTCTCCCGCTCAGGCTGAACCCCACCTGCCGCCTTCAGTGCCTTTTATCTTCTTCGCACATGAACGTTCCACCTGCGGTGCTCTCCACGCTCTGCCCTGAGTGTGTGTGTCCTGTGAGGTTCACCGGGAAAAGCGGTGAAACTGTAAAGGCTGCGTGATCCCGCCCGGCGTCCTGCGGCCCCTGCCCCGCCCTGGGGGGCCTGGCTGTGCCTGTAAACACCGTACCGTGCCTGGTGGCGCGTCCCGCCCAGACTGCGGCCACGTGCAGCACTGGGAGCGGCAGCACCGGGAGCGGGCGGAGGGAGGAGGCTCTGCCGAGCTGGGCTGCAGGCGGAGCCGGGAGGGCGATGGTCCCCTCATGCCCCTGCGCTTGGAGCGGAGCCTGTGCACAAACCGGAGCCGTAACCACGGGAGCGATGGGACCCGGACAGCTAGGCGCACACTCCCTCCCCTCCCGGCTCCGGGGACAGCGAGAGGACACTGAGGGGAGGGCGGCCCTGCAGCCTGGGGCAGCCGAGAGAGGCTGGGGGAGTGAAAGGTGCATCTGCGAGCCGGGGCTGCCTCAGGGACATGGCACCAGCCCGTCACTGCTGGCTGCTTTCAGTTGTCACACAGTGCGCACCAGCCGCCTAATCTCTCCCTTTCCCTCCCGCTCTCCTCCGGCCTGTCTTCACCTCCAGGACTGCCGCCTCGCTTTACTGCTCCAGGTACTCACACCTCCCCCTGCTCGGGACTAACCCGCCTGCCCCACCCAGGGCACCCCACACCCGCCGCAGCCCGCCTGCCCGGGGCATGGCCTGGGTGCCCTCAGCCTCCATGCCAGGTTTGCAGAAAAAGCCCGGGTCCTGCATTTGGCGCGAGGCTCAGCCTTCGGGGAGCTCGAGGGGCATCCCCAGCATTGCCTGCAGGTGGAGGCACCGCGAGAAGGCGCTGCCTGGAATGTGGGCGGCTTGTCTCCCAAATTCCCCACTCCCACCCAAACCCCTCTTCCTGCTAAGTGCAGCCCTAGCCTGCAGTCGCTGGGGGCGTGGGCAGGGAGCGTGGGAGTGGTCCGCGGGGGCGTGGCCATGGGCAAGGGCGTGGCCGGGAGCATGGCTGATGAAGGCGGCAGAAACCTGGGGTCTCCTCTGAGCAGAGGCGGCTCAGGGCTCCAGGCTCGCTGTCCCCCAGCACGTGAGCTGGAGTTTCTGCTCCAAGAGCACGCGTGTACGGGTGTCTTGGCTCTCATGGCGCGGAGAGGGTCTGGGATGCTCAGCGGCTGGGAACCAACCTGTGGGACCTCTCCTCCTCCCGCAGGACTCGGGACACCCCTGCACGGCCACCGACCCTGACCGCTGCTCCACGCCCGTGTCCCCGCAGCACTTCATCGACCTCTTCAAGTTCTGAGCCCTCCCCACGCCGGCGCCCAGCCCGAGAGCAGCCAGCACCCTGTGCCACGTGCTGCCGCCAAGCGGCTGCCCGGGCAGCTTCCTGCTCCGGGCGGACGCCGCGCCGTGTGTGCGCCTTTGAGGGCCCAGGGAACCCGGTGAAACCATGTCCGCCTCCTTCTCTCAGTTCTTTTCTCCGAGCATTTGAAAACTCGCACCTATGCCTACTTACAGATACGGTCCGAAAGGCCCTGGGTTTTGAGCGCCACTGCCGTGCAGAGCTGACACTAATGCAGTGACAGCTGGATGGTCACACGTCTCCAGGTTTTGCATAATTGGGGGAGGGGGAGGGGGTAAAACCAGCAGTCCTTGTAAATACATTGTGCAGATTATTTATTTTTCTTAAGATGTATTGTAGCCAATGACCTACGGCCGTGGTCAGCAAACTGCGGCTCATGAGCCACATGTGGCTCTTTGGCCCCTTGAGTGTGGCTCTTCCACAAAACACCACGTGTGGGCACGCACATACAGTTCAACTGAAACTTCATGGCCCATGCGCAGAAGTTGGTTTTTGGCTCTCAAAAGAAATTTCAGTTGTCATACTGTTGATCTTGAGTTTGCCGACCACTGCCCTAGGGGAATGTTTGTGTGTTTGTCCGGTGTTTGGCGATTGAGTTGTGAATTGTGCAGTGTCTGTGACCAGGACGGTGGGGTGGGAGTGGTGTGCCGCACACCGTGCTGCCTGGGACCTCGGAGCCCTGGGAGGGACGACTACTGAGCATACCGAGCGGCAGCGGGCAGCCTGCCGTCTGTGGGAAACTGCTTTCCAAACAATAAACCATGTTTGCTGACATACCCGGGTTTGCCTCTGACAAGACCGCAGTGAGTGATTTCACACGTATCTGAGCCTTTGAAACCTTTAAGAGATTGTTTTATTTTCAAAACAATGCAAGTCGGTTTTGGAAAGCGTGTCTAGAGGTGTAGCCTGGCCGCAGCGGCCAGGGTGAGCGTGCTGCGTGCTCCTCTGTGCGTCCTGCAGGCCGGGGCACAGGCAGCAGTCTCCCCCCTCCTCCGAACACACACCAGAGATGGTGAACGGCAGGCAGCGCCCTGCCCTCCTCTGTGAGGCCGTATCTCCGTGAACAGGGACTTGGACGGGCCGCCTCCGGTTGTGCCCCCTGGTCTCACCCTGGTCCCGCCCTGGCCCACCCGGTCCCCTGGGCCTCCCGAGCTTCCGCTCTGAGCTTTGAAGGCTCGGAGCACGTTCCTGGCTCAGTGGCCACGGGCCAGCGCAGCAGCGGGAGCCTGTGAAGCCTGGTCTCTGAAGGAACGTCGTCCTCAAACCGCAGCACAGTGCGGCTCCTGCCTCTCCCTCCCGGTGGGCCAGCTTCCTGAAAACAGTAAATCACCTAGCTGCACTGTTACAGCTGGTTTCAGAGGAAGGGGAGGGAGAGAAACATCGATGTGCGTCACTGATCACTGCCTCCTGCACGCCCGCAGCACGTGCCTGACGGGGATGGAGCCAGGTCCTCCCGCTTCACAGGTCGACACTCAACCACGGAGCCACGCCGGGTGGCTAAGATACTATTTATTTTAAAGTGTTTTTATTATGGAGAGAGGAAGAGGGAAATGGAAACGTCAGTGATGAGAGTCGTTGACCGCTGCCTTGCGCACGCTGATGGTAATTCTCATCAGTCCCTCAGGGCCCTGGGCGGAGGGCAGCGGGAAACCCGAGACACGGCTTCCTGTGAAGTCAGAGCATCTGCCTGTGCTCTGAGCGGGCAGGGGTCCCCCAGCTCCCCCTGCTGCAGGAACCAGGATGGTGATTCCAGGGGCAGCGTGGCCTGCAACCTGGCAGCTGGCAGGGTGGGAAGTCGGTGCCTGCCGGGAGGAGCCCTCTTCCTGAACCTGCCTGCACTGGGGCTGCTCAGTACGGGTCTGGTTAGCACCTTCTGCAGCCTTCCCGGCTCCCACTCCTCTCCCAGGGCACAGACTAGCTTCCTAGAGATGTCACTGTTGTCATGGAAACGGCTTCACAACTCTCCCATCCCTGCAGTGCGCCCCACCCCCCAGCCCTGGCCCCAGCCTTGGCCTCTGCTGCCACAGGACACCCCACTGGCATGTTCCTTGTTTCTCAGCGGGAGCTGGAAGGCAGCTCAAGTCTCCAATTCACCAACAACTGACTCAAAACCCCGCAGCCCGGCACAGACCTGCCATGCAGACGGCAGCGAGGTCGCTCACCCCGAGCCCAGGTCGGTGTCGGGCGTTTATTTATGAAACATCTACACGCAGTCTGCATTTAAAACAGGCCCCGGGCCTGAGGTGAGAGCAGGGACCGGGAGTGGGCGCCAATGACAGGCCGACGACGAGGGACGATAGAAACGGCACTTTTATTTCTTGAAACCTCGGCATGAGGGTGGGTTGGACCTCCTCTGCAGCCATCGTTTTGTATTAAAAACACTAAAAACCTTAGAAGGAGCGGACACCTCATACTTCACACAGCTGTCTGTACACAGAATTCAAACAAGACCCCCCCAAACCAAACCGAATTTCTCTGGACCTATGCCCAAATAATCCCTTTGGTAGGTTATTTTTCTCCTGATGCACACAAATAAATATATTAAGACCCACAGAGCCATTTTCACTGAACCCCACACACCAGAACATCTCATTTGCATACATGTTTGCAGAGAAACGTGGTTTACAGTCCCCGCCCGACCCACGCCTGGCTCTGCCCCAGCACCAGGGAAAGTACGTCGGTGCCCAGGCTCCGTCCAGTAGACTTCTTGTTCTCCTGAAAAACACAGATGGGGTAACAGACAGATGCTTGGCAGACGACAGACAGACAGACAGACGCTCTGACCCTCCAGGCATGGGGCGTGCGGCCGGTCTCAGGAGTGACCGAGCCCCAGGCCGGGGAGCAGCACCGCGAGCCCTGAGCAGCCGGGATGTTCCTCCCGGGATGCAGTGCAGCAGAGGTTCCTGTGCCGGAAACGACACCCAGTCCTTCCCACCGGCCCCGGCTGGGTGTGCGGGCTGCACGCAGGACAGCTGTCCGGGGCCTGGCCCGCGGTCACGGTGCCAAGGACAAAACCCGCACGGCAGCCGACACAGCCCTCAGGGGCCCCACAGGCATCTCGTTTTTAAACGACACCGTGAGCATTCTAGAAAGAGGCACTTCCAGTGGTTTAGACGTTGCAGCCCTGTCACAAGCAAGTTAACGGCTTCCCAGCAAAATTAGTGTCCAGTGACCCACCGACGGATGGGCAGGCACCGAGGGTTTTCTGTGATCAGAAAGCACAACAGGTTTCTAGAAGGAAATACAGGTCGATATTTAAAAGCCCAGCAGCAGAAATAAAGCCTCAACCTGCGCAGCACCGTCTCCACCTCTGCGGGGGCAGGGGCGGAGAGGGTGGTGGCGGGCGGGGGGGGGGGGGATTCCTCTGCCGGCGCGGCAGCATTCGCTGCTCTAGGATTTGATTTGCTGACAGATGTCTAATTGGAGAAGAAGTTTGATTTTCCAGGATAAACGTGAGCCGTCACGGCGTGTGTCCATCCCAGCGGCCACGTTCAGTGTCACCGCCGGCTCCCACGGTTCCACGCCGGAGTCACCATGTCATGCGGCAGACGGATGCAGCTGAGGACGGTGGGGAGGTGCTATCTGGTCCCCGTGGGGCAGCATCCGAAACTGCACCCAGCTCAGAAACACGCAGACACGCCGGCCTGGCGTGGCCTGGCGTGGCGTGCCGGCCGGAGGCGGTCACAGTGTTGAGATGTGGGAGATGGAACGTGGGCAGAGTGGACTCGGCTCTCTTTAACCTGAAAGACTGAGAACTCGCTAGGCTAGGAGACACCCGATACGGCGCCCAGGCTCTGAGCGGAGGAGCCGGAGCCGCACGAGGCCAAGGCCGCGGGGCCAGCGCCGGGGACGGCGGTCACTCCAGCTCCTCCCAGCTGTCGGTGAGGTGGCCGCGGCTCTGGCGCCGGATGCTGACCAGCTTCCCGGCCGAGCGCAGGCTCCAGCGTGAGCCGCCCCCCGGGCCGGCCAGGCTGGTGTACTTGCCGGAGCCCTGGGCCCCCTCCTCCCAGCCCGGCCGGGACGCCTGGTCACTCAGGGCGCCCGACTCGGCCGCCACGTCTTCGAGAGCGAGCTTCGGGGGCTCCCAGCCCTCGATCTCGTCCGGCTTCTTGGGCTGAACGCTCGGCTTCAACACCAGATTGTCCCAGAAGCCAGACTTCTTCTCCGTCTTCAGCTCCTCCTTCCGCCGTAAGCTGGTTCTGCGGGGACAGAGGAGGGGTTTCGGGGGTGCAGGGGCCTCAGATTCGACCCGTTTTTGTAAGTAAAGTTTCTTTTTCTAAAACCATCTAAGCTGTGTGGGAAGCTAACGCCGATCAGTATGTAAAACCTGAAACAGCAAAGTCAGAGGGAGAACTCGTCCCAGGGGTTGCTGCTGACACTAATGAGGCCACATCTCAGACCCACACGTGGACGTGCACACGGGCCGGTTCTCAGGAGACACGCCTGGTGCTCACGTGCCTGCCAGCCGGCGGCAGGGCCCAGGCCCGGACTCCCATCGGGGAGAATGCCTTTCAACACCCGGCCCTGGGAGGCCATGCCCAGGGCACTGCCGTGCGGGACCCGCCTCCCGGGAAGAAGGTGGTCCCAGCGACACCTGCCTGTGAAGCGAGGCAGCTCAGGGCTCAGGGCTCAGGTGGACGCTGGTCTGCAGCTCCCACGCTCCTCCGCCTGCCGCTGGCTGCCTCTGGCCTTCCCACAGCCCCATCAGCGCCCCGTCCTCTCCAGACACCCAGGGGAGGAGCCCTCCATGCCACCTGACCGGCCCTGCGGTCCCACGTGACCAGGAGGGAGGGATGCGGGGGGCCGAGACAAGGCACCCACTGGGGCCGGGCCTGTCTGCGGACCACGTCCCCCTCCCCGCAGGGACTTACCCCCTGGACTTGGGAGACTTGCATCTTCCCAGCAGGTGCTGCTCATCATCGTCATTAAACAGCGAAGTCACTTCCTTCCAACCGCGGAACCCTGCTCCCTGCACCAACAAAGGTCAGGAAGAGGTCAGGCCTGGCAGCAGGTACACAGGTCTGGTTTTGTGACAAATTTGTTGAGCTGGGCCTGGGAGAGACGCTGGGCCTGGGGGAGACGCTGGGCCTGGGGGAGAAGCTGGGATCTGGGAGAGAAGCTGGGATCTGGGAGAGAAGCTGGGCCTGGGGGAGAAGCTGAGATCTGGGAGAGAAGCTGGGATCTGGGAGAGAAGCTGGGCCTCGGGGAGAAGTTGGGCCTCGGGGAGTAGCTGGGCCTGGGAGAAGCTAGACCCTGAGAGAATCTGGGCCCTGGGAGAGAAGCTGGGCCTGGGGGAGAAGCAGGGCCTGGGAGAGAAGTGGGGCCTGGGAGAGAAGCTGGGCCTGGGGGAGAAGCTGGGCCTGGGGGAGAAGCTGGGATCTGGGGGAGAAGCTGGGCCTGGGGGAGAAGCTGAGATCTGGGAAAGAAGCTGGGATCTGGGAGAGAAGCTGGGATCTGGGAGAGAAGCTGGGCCTCGGGGAGAAGCTGGGCCTGGGAGAGAAGCTGGCCTGGGAGAGAAGCTGGGCCTCGGGGAGAAGCGGGGCCTGGGGGAGAAGCTGGGCCCCGTCTCCTGGGTCGCAGCTCCTCCTCCCTCAGCGGCAGGCGACCTCCGCCATCCCGCTGAGAGGACAGCCACTGTGGTGACCATCTGTCTGTGGTGCCCATCCTCGCCCTGCCCTTACCCAGGCGGGGTGGCCGAGCTGCCACCCCAGGACGGGTCCCTGCAGGTGCCCACGGGCAGCTGCAGAGGAGGGAAGGGGCCACGGCTCTGCAATGGGGGTGCGTCCTGTGCCTACGCTGGCCTCAGAACAGGGGCACGGCTGTCAGAGCAGGCCCAGATAGGAGAGAGACTCCGCCCATCCCGCACCCGAGTCCCACTCCCTGTGGGTGGCCTCTCTCCCATCAGGGAAGTGGAGGGGAGCCGAGGGGAGCAGAGGGCGGCTCCCGGGGGGCAGACCTCGCTTTACAGAACTCTGAAATGTTCCTGTTGCAACTTGAAAGGAAAGGGAACCGAGGGCTGTGTGCCAGGCTCCTGCGGCCGCCCAGGGCCACCCGGGGCCACCCAGGCCGCCCAGAGCCACCCAGGCCACCTGGGCCACCTGGGCCTCCCAGGGCCACTCAGGGCCTCCCGGGGCCACCCAGGCCGCCCAGGCCACTCGGGGCCAGGGAGTGAGAGCTCAACATCGTCCCCAAAAGCCAGCCCGGAGGCCACCCCTGGTGCCAGCTGAGACAGTGGGGTCCCGGATGGACGAGGACCTGGCAGGCGGTTAGTGCCAGTCCCATGCCCCACGCCCGGCGAGGACCCACCAGCCCTCCGTCTGAGCAGCCCGGTGCCACGCCGCCGGCCCCAGCAGCCGGAGGCTGGTTGACACCCGTGTCTGTGGCAAAGCTCCCGCCTGTGTCCCGGCTGCCGGTGCCCACAACGATCAGACACAGACCTCACCGGAGCGAGGGCAGCCGCGTGACCTGAGGCGACACAGGGAACAGGCACCAGGCCTCAGAGGACGAGGGATCGCGCCCGTCTCTGTGCCCACACCGCCCGTCCAGACCCACCGAGCATCGGCGCTCACAGGCCGCTCCGCGGGCACCCCCTTCGCCCCTCCGCAGTCGGCGCGTCCTAGGCCGGCACCTGGGCCTCCGGAGGGTCTGTCTGAGGCGGGAGGGACTGAGACCCTCCACCAACAGCACGGCAGGGCCCCGGGTGATGCGGTGACACCCAGGGCCGGGGGCCGGGCGTCTGTCCGCTGGCCAGACCCTGGGGATGGGGCTCCCGCCGGCAGAGGCGGGAGCGGGGAGCCGGGCCGGAGGCTGCGGTGCGGGCCCCACACAGCCCGGCGCTCTGCCTGCCCGCTCTGCCGGCCGGAGCCCCCGGCTGCCCGCACGCTGAGTCAGGGCGGTCCCGGCCGTGCGGGCGGCCGTCCCCTGCGGAGCCCATCCCGCGGGGAGTGGGGGCCCTGACCCAGAGCCCCGAGGGGGACCTCCCGGCAGGAGGGAGCCCCTGGGCGGGAGGGCGCCCACTGCCCGGGCCCAGCGTCCATCTGTCTGCTCTGTGGCCACACGCCAGGCACACGCCAGCCACATGCCGGCCACATGCCAGCCACACGCCAGGCACACGCGCTGCAGAGGCCACGTGAGGGGCACCCTCCTCCCCCGCAGGAAGCAGTTACAATGCCCACCAGAAAGCACAGAGACCAGCTGGGTCACCTTCTGGAGACCGGAGCCGGGGTGGGGGGCTCCGCGGGCCCCTCTGGGGGCGGCACCCTGTCTGTCTGTCCCTCCGTGGGGGCCGGGCCACACGCGCAGCCCGGACCGCACGCCCGGCGGACCAGCTTGGTGCTGCTGACCACGTGCGCTGGTTCTGACCCGCTTGGCCCTGTGGCTCTCCGGCCACCTGCCCCGCAAGGTTCCCATCTTCCCTTTCCACCCAGGACCACCCCCCAGCCCCCCCAGCCCTTCCTTGAACGGGAGGGGAGGCCCCGGGGACCTCCGAGCAGGATCTGGGGGGTGGGGGGCGCTGCTCTTCCCGTCAGACACGGTGGCTCCCTGGGAAGGGAAAAGGCAGCAGCCGACCGTGGCCATGAAAACCGGCCTCCGTGAAACCACAGAAAGGCCCCGCGGGCGGGCGGGCGCGGAGCGCGAGGAACGGGAGACGCTGCGTGGAAAGTGCCCCGTGTTCCGGGGGACCCGGCTCGGAGCGCTCGCCGCCGGCTCGGGTGCCTCTGCAATTTTAATGTGTCAGCGGGCGGCTCGCCGGCCTGGCCGGGCGGCTCCGGAGCACAAAGGGCTGCGTGAACGGCTTCCAGCCGGAGCGAGGCCCGTGGCCCCTCCGCTGCCAGGTGCCCTGGGGCTGCGGGCCTGGCGGCCTCAGGGAGCGGGCTGGCCTCGCACGCCCTGGGCTCCCGGGTCCCTCCACCTGCTGCCGCGCCGAGTCCTTTTCTCTCGGGTTTTCTTTCCCCCATTTCTAAAAAATGCACATTTTTATTGATTTTAGGGAGAAAGAGAGAGAGACATCAGTGAAGAGGGAGAATCGTGGATCGGCTGCCTCCTGCCCGCCCTGCACTGGGGATCGAGCCCTGTCCCAACCTGGGCCTGTGCCCTTGACCGGAATCAAACCTGGGACCTTTCAGGCCTCAGCCAACGCTCTAACCACTGAGCAAACCGGCAGGCTCTTTCCCCGGCTGCGCCCTGCAGGCAGCAGTGACGTGTTTATGGAGTGCTGAGCCCGAGCAGGGCGGGGTCCCGGTGGATGTAGGCACGGGCCTCACAGGCACGGGCCGGGTTCCCACCCACACCGTCGGGGGCAGAGGCCAGGGCAGCCTCACAGGACTGTCCTTCCCGGCGTTCACCCTCTCCATCCTGCGCCCTCCCCCCCGGGCGCTGCGGCGCCCTCCGCCCGGAACAGCGGAGCCCCCGGAGACCGGGCTGGGGCGCTCCCCTCGGCCACCGGGGCCCCGGCGCGGCCTCTCCATCTCTCCCGGGAAGACGCTGCCCGTGTCCTTTCAGACGCCCGCCGGGACGCTGGGCGGCGAGCGGGGGCGCGGGGACGGGCCTTCCCTCCGCGGCGTCTGCAGCCCACAGACAGCTCTCCGCCCCGACCTCGTCTCTAACGGATGTGCCAGCGTCAGCGACGGCCTTCCCACAGCCCTGCGCGCCTGAGAGAGACACGCGCACTGACACGTGTGGGGAACGCACCGACCTGGACTAAACCCACGGCCTGGCCGGGCGGCTCAGTGGTTAGAGCGGCGGCCGGTGCACCCAAGGGTCAAGGGTTCGATTCCCAGTCCACGGTGTATACCTGGGCTGCAGGTTCAACCTCTGCCCTGGCTGGGCACATGTGGGAGGCAACCACTTGATGTCAATGTCTGTCTGTCCGTCGCTTTCTCTCCTCCTTCCTCCTCGTCTGTCCTCCTCCCCCTCCCCCTTCCACTCTCTCTAAAAATCAGTGGGAAAAATACCCCCAAGTGAGAATTCACAGAACAAGCAAACAAGCAGAAAACAGCCCACAACACCCCCACGTGGCAGTGTGGTCAGGCACCCCGTCCGGGCGCTTCCCAGCAGCCAGAGGCACCGAGATGCCTACCATGTCGGTGTCTAAGGATCTGAAGACCCAGCCCATTCCTCTGTCGACGAGACTCCGAGCACAGCAGCGGTGTTCGCTAGAAAGACTCCGGACAGAGACCCGCCCCTGCCGCAGAAGCCGTGGAAGATTCCGCCCGCGCCTCGCGCCCGGGAGAGCCTTCCGCTCGCAGCGCTTCCTCTGTCCAGCCGGCCCCGGAGGACAGCTCCCCCGCTCTCCTCCCTTCCCGGTCCCCAGGACGGCCCCCGGGCGCCCCCCCCCCCCCCCACACACACACACACACACACGCCCCGGCCAGCGCTACAGCAGCAGCGAAGGCGAACGGGCCTGTGCGTCCTAAAAGTCTAAACTCGGAGAAGCCTGGATTCCAACTGCCAGCGCCCACGGCCTTACAAGCTCTCCTCCCTTCCCGCAGCCCCACTGTGTGCCGGGGGCGAGTCCTGGAGGAGGCCGCGCGGTGGGCGCCACGGGGACCCGGGGTGAAACACAAGTCAGGAATCGCTGCTCTCCCGGGAGACACAGGGCAGGGGCTGAGCCCTGGTCATCCGTGTTCGTCAGGCAGTCCTAACCTGTGTCACGCGTGTGTACGCACAGGCGCCCAGCGCGCTTTCTCCACGGACACACCGGCCTCGCCGGGGAGCCAGGCGTGGGCTCTGAGCCCGAGCGAGCGAGACAGCAGCGTCAGCCCAGAGAGCACTGGACTCAACCGCACCGAGCCGCCCGCAAACAAGACGCGGCCAGTGTGACGGCCGACACCGTGGGCCAGGCGCACGCACCCTCGGCCGGACGTGGGCCTCATGGCGCGAAGACGGGAAGACTCCCCCCCGGACTGGGGTGAATTCCCAAACACGGGGGCCACGGAGCCACGGAGGTGTGCAGGCAGAGGCAGGCGG